AGGTCTAAAAGGTTAAAGAAAGAGGATTTCTGGTTTTGGAACTCAAGATTCCTGAGCACTAGTTGCTTCCCTTGGTCTTCCAGAGGCATCTGTTTGTCAGTCCTGGGGGAAGTCTCCACTGTGTTCAGGGGACACCCCCACCCATGCAGTATAAACTGGAGAGAGCATACATTAAATACTTTCACACTAAATTACATGCTAATTAGTTCTTGAGCCCCTCCTCCTGTTCCTCTTATGAGGGAGAAAACAACCCAAAATATCACCTTGGATCTCACAGTAAACTTAGAGGAGCTCCTTTTTCAGGGTTGGGACCAGGGAGTAGAATAAGTAAGTACACTGGTGGGCTTCCAGGAGGTGGTGTTCCAAGGCTGGAGTGGTCTCTTTCCTCCCAGATCTCCTTGGATTCTGAGTAGTACCTGGTTTCCTCCACCTTCTCCCTGGCAGATGGGCATGTGGCGTACTGGCTGAGAGTACTGGCAGCCACTGTGCACCTTGGACTCTCCTCACTGGGAACCTATGGCTCTGGTAGCAAGCTCACCCTCCCCTCTGCTTCTCTCTCGCCCTGCTGTCCTCCTGGGACCTTTCTTTCTTGCCACATCTTCCAGGGATACTTTGCTGTCATATTGACCCATACCTCAGGATTCTGCCCACTTTCCACCAGCCTAGTCCTTATCCCAGATGGTTCTGTGGTGGCTCTGTTCAGTGGCCATGAAAATCTCTTCCCTTGGTGGGGGTTGTAACAATATTTTCTCACTTAGTGCCACCTCTTTTCCTGGCACCGTCCTCCAGTGTCCCTAGCTGCTAGACTGGCTCCAGCCTCCCTTACCTCCTCCCCACCTCCTGGTGATTTGCTCTAGAGGAGGCTTGGATGCAGGGCATGTATGGATCCCATGTCTGTAGGGAGAGGGGAGGGATAGAACCGTGATGTGCTCAGTCCTCTCTAGGTGCTCCATAGGGCAAAGGAAGGATGCAGAGAGACACCGGACTTCAACTGAGGGTCTGGAGCAACTGTGGGAGGAGTTGTAAGTGGCCTGCAGCAGAAACCATGGCCCCGCTGGGAGTGGCAGATGGCCTCTGCTGGGTTTGGTGCAGTGAGGGTGCTGAAGGGTCTGCAGATCCCCCCTTCTTCTGGCTAGGAATGTCTCGAGGTCTGTGAGTCACCGGTTTTTCAGTGCTGACTGGTGATGCAGCCCTGGCTGTCAGTTCCTGCTCCACTAAGATTCAGGACTGCCGGGACCCAGGGAGGGCAGATTTTCTCTGGGTGGAGGGGTGGGCATGTTCTGGGGTTTCCCACATTCCCTGCAGTCCAGTCCACATTCTATTCCTGCTAGGCACATCCCTAGGCTCTATACCACATATCCTTGGGAAACACCTTCCTACTCTGGTCTTAGTTTCCCCATGATGAGATGGCTTTACAAGTTGATCTCAGGCAGGACAGAAATGTTCTGTTCACAGCTGCTCTTCCTGAAGACATAGGTAGGCCTGCATCTGCACACCTCTGATGGTGTGAGAGGTCACACAGGGGTTCAGTAGGCTCCTTTACAAGTGACAGAACAGCAGAAGTCAAGGGGGCATGTATGGTTTGGAGCCACTTTTTAGTTCTATGGGATGCTTTCTGTGTGACCTTGGAGAAGTTGCATAGACTTTCTGTTCCTCTGTCACCTCTCCTATAGAATAAGGAGAGTGCCAGGAGCTCCTTCCTAAGTGTCAGTCAAGTTCCAGGACTTGATGGGTATTCAACTTGGAGATGTGCCCAGCACATACTGAGTACTTAGTAAGTACTGGCCATCAGGAGATAAAGTGCAGCTGGCTGGCTGTTCCCAGTGAATGTGATACAGGGTGGAGGTGACAGTGAAGTGGCACAAGAGTCATGAACACACAGAGGTTGACACCTCACAGATGCCAGGCTGTGGCACAACCTCGAAGCACTGCCCGTGGATCAGGCGTGGCTATCATTCCCGCTTTGCAGACAATGGGTAGAGGCTGAACAGAAAGCTTAAGTCCGTTGCCTGGGGTCAAGGCTAAAACCTCCAGGGGGTTAAACTTCCCACTTCAGTTTCACTAAGAGCTCAGAGGCAGAGCTTCCCTGTTCTCTGAGCTACCTGCCTGGCACAGTGTGACACCCCCCTCCCCGGGAGAGAGTGAGGGCATGCAGGGTAGTCAAGTGGAAGGGCCTGATGTCCCTCCTTAGGGTGAGGTGTTTGACAGATCTGTGATGGCCTGACGCATTCCTTGACAGGGGTGCCTGCATCTCTAAGGAGTTGTGAGGCAGAGGTAGTCTGGGCAGAGAGGAGCATCAGGCTGGTGTGTTACATCTTGTAAGGCTACCCATGGAGCACCATGCCTGTGCCCCACAGAACACTGTGGACAGTAAGCACCCGTTGCTACTGGGAAAGAGTGAGAACAGGAGAGAAGCACCTGGAAGAGCAGAGAGCAGTGTTCCGTGAGGTCTCCAGAGACAGGAAGAGAAGCCAGGGCCTGATACCTCTGTCGTAGGGACCAGGTGGGGCAGCAATGGTATCCAGGATCCTAGCTCTTGCTCATTGGTTGCCCCACCTGAGATATCACCTGTGTGTATTCATGGCTCCTGAGTCAGCACCATGGATATCTCTCTGGATTATGATCTGTCTAGGAGACTGTACATAGAACTGAGGGTCCCTGCACATATCTGAAGAGGCAGAGGGTGATGTGTCTGAGCTAATATTCTCACAGTAACACTTACTGTATGTGGATCAGGGTCTCCATGAAGGGCCATATGAGGAGAGGCGGGGACTTGCCATCACAGGTGATTCTCAGATTGATGCTTTCAAGTAGAAGCCCTGGGGATAGAGGTGCTTTAGTGTTTGTGAACATGACATGTTCTTATGCTCCTTTGCTTCAAGAGAGGAGCATGGAGAGAGAGGAGGGGAGGGAGGGAAGGAGGGAGGGAGGGAGGGAGGGAGGGAGGGAGAGAGAGAGAGAGAGAGAGAGAGAGAGAGAGAGAGAGAGAGAGAGAGAGAATACCACATACCACCCCATTGCAGCCAGGCTCCCCACCATCATGTTCCTTCCACCAGAAGGAACCTTAGAGCTGCAGCATTCTGCCCCTGTGTACATCCCAAGGTTCTCACAAAGGTTAAAGCAGACCCACTGTAATCCACATGGTGTCAGCTGGAGGGGCAGCCTGGCAGGTGGCCCCAGGCTGCACTAAACTGAGAGGTTCTGGGATGCAGAGGAAGTAGAAGATGTGTTTGGGGACAGTCTGGTCCTGTAGGGCTTCCCTGGGGGTCACAGCTCTGTTTTGTAGTCTTGAGATGAATCAAGGTGAAAAAGAGTAACCCCTGAGCTCAGAGGACATCCCATTCTTACTGGTTTTTCTGTCCTGGTCTATCTGGGAAAGATGGCTTCTCACTGAAGCCTGCTGAGGTCCCCAGAACTAGATATTCTCCCATCCTAACCAAGCCTGAGGTCACTTCTGCAGACAGGGTCTGGGATCTCAGACAGGTAGAGGTGATTGTATACTTCTGAGGAACCATCAGTTTTATATGGGGCCTAGAGGGAGGTGTGGGCACTTGAGCTGGTGTGTCTGACCGATTTTCATTCTTTGGCTTCTCCCAGTCCACTCAGCCCTACCTGCCCCCTTCCCCGGTACTTATCAGCTATCCAAGATCTCCTTACCATCTCTGAGTGAGTGAGCAGCAGACTGGAGAGGGGCAGTCTTCTCTCTTTATCTTCCCGTCACTGGGTTTCTTCTCTATTTTGAATATCTGTTTATTGGATGTCTGTTTATTACCTGATTGAGCCAAAAAAGTTGAAAGGGGATGTTAAGATCAAGTACTTAGGGCACAGAGGAATAGGTGACAGAAGCTGGACCCACATGGTGCGTGGGGCACAGGGGCAGGCTTGTTTCAGCTCCTTGTGGCCTCCATAGTGAAGCACATTTTTGTGTTAGCTGTGCTCTGATAGGCCTATTTAATAATCCTTCCACAGCAATGGAGTAATAACCACCATCGCTCTGAAGGGGTGACAGCGCTCTGCTTAGCAGGGGCAGTGTGGTTCTGCTGCAGTGAGAAACCTCATATATGTTGCCCTCTGTCCAAGGGCGAACCTTTCCCAGCGCAGAGCTCCTGAGTGGCAAGGCGTTTGGGTCAATGGTCAACTTTAGGAGCAGAGCAAGTTCAGGAGGAGTGTGAGCCCGGTTCCCCCAGTTTTCTCAGTTATCTGTAGCTCCTCTGGTCCCTTCTGGGGTCCTGATCCTCCAGCAGCAGGATGATGTGACCACACGCTTTAAAAGTCAAAGTGGGGTGAGACAGGGTAAAAGGAGAAGGTACTTGCCCCAACTATGCACCGAGAGCAAAGAAGCCCTTTCTGAGTGAACAGATGGTGCCGAAGCTTGCTTCTCCATATCAGAGCTGTGTGGAGTTAGCTAGGTCACACAGGCTAGAGAGGTGTCTTGCTGTCACAGTCGCTCAGGGATGCTGGCTTCTCTCCCATTGTCATTCTCCAACCCCTGGGATATTATTCTGTGTGCCATAGAAGAGGTGGGCCCTGGACTTAAGGAGCTGAGAGCATGTGTGCCCTGCACAAGAGGCTCATGCTCGTGCCTGGGAACAAGGGAGCCTGGTAAATGTCATTGCTAGGTGGGCATGCATATGCCAGCCAAGACGCTGTTTCTGTGTGAAAGCAGAGAGTGTCGAGACGTGGAGACAGCTGGTCTATGCAGAGGAATAAGCTACTCTGGAGTGTGCCAGTAGCTGGATGGCTGAGCTGGCACATACCCACATTCGGTGCCCTACTGTGGGCACAGGGCAGACGGCACTCAACTCGTGTTGGTGGGATGGAAGGGTGAAGGAGTGCAAGGTTCAAGGGTAACCAGGGCTGGAAGCCTAGACTGAGAACCCTGCAGCAGGTGACATGGTGTGCTGTCTTTCCTTCCCTTCAGCTCTGTGTGGACAGTGGTGGGTGGCGACTGACTCTCCAAAGCTGGGAGCAACAGCCAGCGATAGTGGCTGGGAAGCACCATGGCTAGAGTCCTGCAGCTCTCCCTGACTGCTCTCCTGCTGCTGCCTGCGGTAAGGGCCTAGGCTTCCTCTGCAACTGTACTGAGCCTCCACCTGGAGAACCAGTGACTTCTGTGTACTCTCAGCCAAGCTGGCCCAAGGCTGGCATTTCTGGCAACAGCACTCCCTTGCCCCTGGACTCTTTCCATACACAGCCTACCCCATGCTTCTGTGGTGTGAATTAGATAAATGATTTTCCTCCAGACTGGTGCTGATTGGACCAAGAGTTGTTACAGAATTTGCAAATCTATTATGATGGTGACATGTGCTATGACGCTTAGAGTTGCATGGAATCTGGCTTGCTCAACTGAGTGCAGGGTCCCTGGTTAGGGCCACGGAATGGCCTTCTAGTCCCCATACCCCTAAACTCAGGATCTTGTTCTCTGTTCATATCTTTCTTGAGCAAGTCTGAAGATCAGGAGCGAGAGGAGGAGGGTTCCATTTGATTCCATTTGGTTCCATTTGGTTCCATTTGGTTCCATTTGGTTCCATTTGGTTCCATTTGGTTCCATTTGGTTCCATCTGGGCCAGGACTAGGCTGTCCTTAGAGCCTGAGGCATCCCTCTTACTCCTGATCTGTAACTCCTTGCTTGACAGGACATGCACATCTCGCTCTCGGTGAGGAGGTGGGATCGGATCTGTCTTGGAACATGGCCCTTGATAGCTCAGATTCCTTGCCAAGAGAATCATTTCATTTGATGAAAATGAACTTAGACATCATCACAACAGAAGGTGTGGCTGTGAAGTCCCTGTACCTGCTGTGAGACCTGAGCTGAGTTTTGCGCCTCTCTTTCCTCCTCTGAAATAGAGTGGAGAGGAGACCCCTGAATCCTACCATTGCCCCTTGGTCTGCTGTGGCCGGGCATTTGTTCCTGTAGTCCTCAGTTTACCAGCCTTCACCTCCCCATAAAGTGCAGCAGGAGCCAGAAGAGTAGACTCAAATCCTGTGACACCGTCTACCAAGTCGTGTGACTTGGAACAAGTTAAATAACACCTCGACTTGGTTACACGTTTGCAACAAACAGTAAATGAGGTAAACAAAAATAGTTTAGGGGTATGGGACGCAGAAGACCATTCTACGGCCCTAACCAGGAACCCTGTGCCCCAGTTGAGCAATAGTGTTTATGAGCTTCTAGCGTGGATGCACACACATGCCCAGCCGCTAGAGGGCAGCACATGTCATTGTTAATGTCATTATAGCATGGGGACTGAGGCTTAGGGGCCTGTGGGACTCATTGAGTTGGGGTGTGGGGATAGCCCTCATGGCATTTGTAACAGCAGATGTTGATCTGTCACCCTCCTGCCATTTCTGTCCCTAACGCTCCTCTCCTGAGTTGAGGCAGAGGGGCTGTCAATGGGCTCCGTGCCCTCTCATCACCTGTTCCCCATATCCTACAGGCTATTGCTATGCACTCTGACTGTATCTTCAAGAAGGAGCAAGCCATGTGCCTGGAGAGGATCCAGAGGGCCAACGACCTGATGGGCCTAAACGAATCTTCGCCGGGTGAGTGAGGCAGCGGACAATCTTGGTGTCTTAAGCACACACAGGCTAGCCTTGCAAGAATGGTGGCAGGGTGTGAAACTCTATAGAAAGCCCTTGAGACCACAGTGTTCTATATCCGCCATTCTTGGTGACATGAGGTGGCTATCCTTGTGCCAGTCTGAGTTGGGATGTTCTGGGTGGCTTAAAGGGGCCACTCTTTTCTCCTGGGTCTGGTCTGGGTAGCAGCTGTCAATGAGCTTGCTCATTGGTCGCCTGGGACCAGCAGCAGCAGGAATGCAGCTGTTATGGTGGCTGAGCTATAGAATATCTGGCCAGCTGGAGGAAAGGCTGTGGGGTCATTTCCTACTTACTGAGTTGAGCAGCAGTAAACTCCAGGGCTTTCCCTAATGTGGGGGTTCACACAGGGGCTGCTGTATCAGATGCTGGATGTGTGGTCATATACATCTTTAGTCTGTTTCCCCTAAATGATTCTGAGGATTTCAAAAAGTGTCTCCTAACAAGTTCATGTCCTGAGGGAGAGGCACAGCTCCTGGTAAGATCCCAGAGGTCTTCTTCCAACGTCCTCTGAAGGAACAGGGGGAAGTTGGGTGGGCATCTTGGGGATGTTATGCTTTTCTCCTGCTCTGGACTGCAGAACAGGCTGAATCTACCTAGTGGTGGGGCTCCACTCCAGCCTTATGGTATATCTTTCCCTCTGGACTCACTTTCTGATAACCATCTGCCTGAAGACTTTATTAATCTGTAGCCCCGTTAAACAGAATCCCTGCTGGGCCAGCTTCTCGCCAGCAGCTTCTTCGCAAAGATCGGCCAGGGGAAGGTGCTCCCAACTTGGCTCACCTGCTTTGCTGACAGACCAGAAAGTGAACTTTAGCCCGTATCAACCAGGGAGACTGAAGAACGGGGGCAGATGGGTACATAGTGGGAGGAAACCCAAAAACTATGGAGAATCTATGATCTAAGTGTCTTGTTTGTGTGGGTGGGAAAGTAGGTCCCGACGACAGTAACTATCCAGTGCCTGTCTACCATGTGGGTAGACCCCATGAAGCCTGCCTCCTGACCTGGACTCATTGGTCCCAAATGGTGGCTCTAGGAGGGGGAGGGGAGAGAGATGGGGGCTTACTGTGTGAGACTGTGTACAGTTTAATTACACTCCTCAAGTTGAACACTGGAGCTGATAAGACAGGTTTACCCATAGGCTGTTCTTGTCTGAAGGCAAAAACTAAAGAAGACAAGTATAAGTATAGCCCCAATGAAAGGATAGGCAGGTGGTGGTGGGAGGGGCTCCCTTGGTTAGCTTCAGAGAAGAAGACAAGAGGACCGTGAGGAGCAGGTAGGGCTTGAGTAGCCCAGAATACCCAGAGGAACTTTGAGGATAACATCCACAAGCCACAGTACAGATTAAACCAGAATCTTGACATAGTTACCTGACATTCAACAGCTCCCAGGAGGTTCTGGTGAGGAGCTAGAGCTATGAAAACCAATCCAAGGGAGGGGTGGGCGTCGGACTTCAGGTGAGCCGGGAGCAGCAGGAGAATACTGAAGGCTCAGGGCACTTGGTGCAAGGATAGCCTGCACCTTGCTTAAGGATACATTTCATTTCAAGCGGAGCCTGAATTTAGGCCATTGATATCCTCAGTCACTGGAATGTACTGCCCTGGGACAGCGTACTTTGAGCCCCGGAATGACTTCTGCATCACCTTCAAAGACATGTGTTGCCTTAATTGTCTTAGGTATTGTAATACCTAGCTGCTGTTGTCTGCAGGAAGCTGCAGGGGCTTGAGGGCTTCAGGGTCACTACATCTGTGAGGCTCCCTCATGGTGGGGAAAGCTCCAGGCTTCCCACCTTCTTGCTAGGTCAGAGATAGATGCCATTTGGAACTGTCTGGAAAGGCTTTCTGAAGGAGAAGGGAGAGTTGAGAACTGAGGAGAGGAGGGAGGTTGAGAGATAGAGCCTAGGTCAGGGTAGCCTGACTGATACAGGTGAGAACTGTGGGCTAGCACTCACAGAGCAGGCCCTAGCAGAGCAGGCATGTGTCCTCAGTGTTCATGGACACAGCTTGTCAGCCTAAGTGAGCAGTGCTGTTTCCTTCCACCTGAGGTTACCCAATCAGAGAGTCCCTTTCTCGATTCTCTGCCCATCATCTAGAAGCTCATGCCCTGGTAGTAGAGCCTGTGTGCACTTTGGGATAGGTCCTGAGGTACCAGGTCCAAGGTACCCAAGTCCACTCCAATGCTGAAGTTGGAGAGCACAGTCTTTCTGCGAACAGATTTCTTCCTCGCTGGACACAGAAGCAGGAGAGAAGTTTGTGGAGGAGAAGAAGATCTTAGGTCTGTGTTCAAGAGGGACCCGTGCTGCTCAGAACCAAGCCTCATCAAGGCAAAGGGTGCTTGCATAAGGGTTTCAGTGGTGGAAGGTCCTACTGAGGAAGGGCGAGGGCAGAGGAAGGGAGCCCCCTGGGGAAGGCCGTGCTGAGTGTAGCATCCGTCAAGTCCGTGTCTGAAAGTCTTGTGGCATGATCTGCAAAAACAGGCATCTGAACAGGCAGACGCTGGGCACCTTGCCAGGGTTCAGGGTTCAGGACAGCTAAACCCTGTTGTCAGCCCCCAAGGAAGGCCTTTATGTCTTCTGAGCCTCATATGGGCCTCATGGCTGCCTCTAGGGGTGTCTTCACCTGGGTCTTTGAACTAAACAATCGTGTGTCCCTAAAGCAGAGCCCATCTCACTGTACTGTGCAGTCCCATTGAAGTCCCTAGGAACATTTAAAGTGTCAGTGAGCAGTCCTTTACCACACTCAGCCAAGGTCAGCAGCATCTGGACTCAGACTCCAAGGAGGTATGTCCTCAGAGCCTGCCTCTGGCTGATTGTAAAGCATATTCAAGTTTAATCACCCTAGGGAAGCACCCCTACTACTGAGCCCATGTGGTGTCAGGTGTGAGCGAAAAGGCCAAAGAGCTGGTAATCGGGCTAAGATCTCATTATGTTTGGAAGTGACACAGGATTAAGAGCTGTGCTGTGTTGTTATCCTTGGCTGGAGAGAGTAGGGAATCAGTCAACCGTACTCTCCCCCTGCCTCTCCAACTATGTTGTCCCTGAGCAGTTACCAGCACAGACACCACCAGAAAGCAGTGATAACTCTGAGACACATTTGAAACTGAAGAAGAAGGCTTGCCAGTTTGCTTCAGTGCCCGGGACTGTGAATGCAGAGCAGCGTTCGTACATATGTACACACACCCACTCTTCAGTGTCAGGGCCAGGTGAGAGTGGTGTGTCTTGGCAGGCTCTGAAGTCACCACCCAGTGCAGGAATACACACCTTGGTGGTCTGGTCAGCCACTTTGCGCAGTCAAGAGACTGTGAAACAGGAGACATTGAGTATATGTAACGTGGAACAATGCTTTACACCGTGAAATAATGATAAAAGTACAGCTTTATAGATCTGTGGACCAGGAGTTCAGTCAGTTATTTTGCCTCATATGTAAATGTGTTTTTTTCACATGACTAGCAATGAGGAGGTGTTCCCACCAGCATCCCTACAGACACATGTGTGACTTGAACATGGTGATGGCAGGCTGGTGGCAGGGATTCCTCAGCTATGGTATAGGTTAGGAGACAGCCACGGCATATCTAACATAAGCTGGGTCTGTTGTAGTGAAAATCTGGTTTGCTGGAAGCAAGGACCATGTGTGACACTGTGTGTTGGTACCCATACTCTCTCATCTTCCTGCTCTTCGGGGTTGGAAATGCCACCCCATCATCTTGGGCATGTGTTGCAGGGGTTTCTTGGGAGGAGGATCAGGGATGGAGGTATATATTACTATTTCATTTCTCATTCCAAATCCCTGGATCCTGCGTGGGACCTGAGCCATCTCTGAGCCTGGCTCTGCCACATGACATATGAAGCGGTTAGAACCAGAGGTGCTGTCACTGGCAAGTCACATGGAGAGACTCAGCCAGCTCTGGGTGGGTGCCCAGAACTCCTGACTGGGGAGTTCCCTTTATGCCTCACTGCCAGTGCCCTTGGAGGAGGAAGAGGAGAAGGAGTTGGGGCTGGTCTATGCACAACAGGCCTTGTAGGCCCGTTCTTTGATCCCTCCATCTGGATCAGGGCTTGTTTGTCTAGATTGTAGCCAGCAGCACCTCCTCTTTTGCAGGGCCTTGGGCTGTGAGCATGGGAACATTCCAATGTCCAGGAAGAGCTGGTCTGGCTGGTCTTCAGTACATGCCACATGCTGAAATCGATGAGCAAGGCCTGCAGAATGGTGGCAGGTCAGGGGAGAGGTCTTCATGTTGCCTTTCTAGACTTGTCCTAGATAGCATTCAGGTGCCTTGACCAGCTCCCCACCTGCATTGGCCTTGTAGCTGCTCCAACTCTGAGGAGGCCCAACCACAAAGAGACCCTCGCTTTGAGAAACTTATCCTATGTTGAGTTCATAGGAACTTGACTGAGGGGTTTTCTCAGACTCGTATTTTCAGAAGCTGGTCTTCGCAGAACTCAAGCATGTATCAGACTCTCCTGATGGTTTGTTAAGCATGTTGAGTGGTCCCAGGGTATCTCACACCAAATCTGAGTGGGGCCTGAGGATCTGCAGTCCTGGAGGCTACCAGAGGTGTTTCTGGCTTCCGGTCACACTTGGAGACCTGCTGCCTTTGGCTCTGCTTCTTCCCTCACATCATCAGAGAGGTAGGGGGAGGGCTGCTCATTCAATGAAACAAGAAACCTTGACTGTCAAGTGAATTTCAGGAAATTGAGTTGTTTTTCACTTTCAAATTGTGTGCTCAAATGAAGGCCTTTCTTTAAGAAAGCCTGAATATCTCTGGATGGGTTCTGAAAGGAAGGGAGGATCTTGGCTTTGTCTGTCACTCTGGTGTCTCTGGGCTCACGAGTTTTGAACTCTATGTGGAACTGGACAGAATCATCACCATGACAACCTCTGATTAGCTCCTCATTCTGTTCCTTTCAAAGACTAATGGCTCATGTATTCTCTCTCAGCTCTATGCCT